CTCTGCTGCTGCCTCAGGGCTCCACGGGTCTTGTCGCTCCTCAGCTGTCATGGTTGTCTTTAATCATCGCTTTGACCACTCCTCTTTTCTTATCCTTTGGTGACTTTCTAATGTCTTATATGTTGCAAAAATCTCCTCACCTCAGGCTTCAGAGCACTTCAAGGAGAACTACACATCTTTGTTTCTCCTTCACCAACCCAATACATGCCTAAATCTCCTGTCACCCAAATTTCCTCAGTTTCTCTCATTAGTTAGTAAAGCTCGTGCCCTTGATTCTGAGCTTTTCCCAAAGTATCATTTTGCAATTGGGAATCCCCTTTTCTCCCAGCTAATTATGCAAACTCTTAACTATTCATTCAGAGACTCCATTGCTGCAATAGTTTTCTCAGATAATCCTTCTTTACTTTGGATACTGCCTAAATTATTTTGCATCTCTTTTTCAACCTCCGAAGTTGTATTTTCTTTTAATGCACTCATTAAATAATATTCAGTGATTTCACCGAATCTGCATATAAGACTGTCCTTTCATGTACTTTTAGGTTTATTGTGTTGTCTCTGTCATACACATGTAAATATTTTTCAGTTATCAATTGCTTAGTAACTACCACAACAACTAGTGGCTTAAGACAGCAACCATTTTACTGTAATACATTCTTTTTTTTGTTTTTTCGCTAAAAGTATTACAAAGGGTATTACATAAGTGTCCTTTCCCCCCCCCCCACCCTTGACAAGCCCCTGCCCTCCCTTACCCCCCAGTGTCTTATGTCCATTAGTTATGGTTATATGGATGCATACAAGTCCTTCGGTTGATCTCTTACTCCCCTCCCTCCTGTCCCCCAACCCTCCCTGGCCTTCCCACTGCAGTTCGACAATCAGTTTGAGGCAGCTCTGCCACTGTATTTATTATTGTTCGAAAGTTTGTAATGGTCTTAATTATCCATGAAAGAGTGAGATCATGTGGTATTTTTCCTTCATTGACTGGCTTGTTTCACTTAGCATAATGCTCTCCAGTTCCATCCATGCTGTTGCAAATGGTAAGAGTTCCTTCTTTTTAACAGCAGCATAGTATTCCATCGTGTAGATTACTGTAATACATTCTATAGGACAAGAATTTGAGAAAAGCTCAACTAAGCGATTCTTCTTCCCATAGTGACAGCCAGGATTACTTCATGGTGTCCATCTGGTGAATGGGTAGGTTTGGAGGGTCCAAGATGGCTTTACCAACATGTTAGGCATCAGGAATGGCTATAACACTGGACCCAGTTGGGACTGTTGACTGGAATGCCTATATGTGGCTTCACCATGGTAGTTTTAGAGTGGATAATCCTCTGATGTGGCAGCTCCAGACTTCTGGAGAGAGGATTACAAGAGGCTCAGGTAGAAGCTACAAAGTTTCTTAGGACCTAGTCTTGGAATTTCTAGAACATTACTTCTACAGCCTCTATTGGTTAAGCAAATTATTAAGTCTAGGTTCAAATAAAGGTGAGGGAAATTAGATTCAACTTTTTCATGAGAAGGATAGCATAAAATAAGCAGCCATCCTGATATATATATTTAACATTTTGGTATGTGTATATGATTTTTAATATATGATTTTTATAATAATTTCCTGATTTTAGGAAACAATATTGAAAATAAAGAAACTGTAATTGATTGTACATAAAATGCATGTTAAGTCAATAAAATATTCAAACTTTTAAAACATGTCCCTACTTTTACCACCCTCTCATAACATTCTCAACAACTTTTTTTTTAGCTAGATAGACTGTAATCTTCTTGGAAACAGTATATATTTCATTTTTATATCCCTAGCAACTGTCTTGGAGCTTGGTACATGGCAACTTCTCAGTAAATATTTATTGAATTGAATTAGTCCTAGATTTTGAGGCTGTCATGGCCAACTTACTGACTTCTATGAATATGTTGTAAGGTAGAATGATATGTAGAGAGAAAATCCAGCCTGATCAAGGGTAAATCCAATAGGAGGTACTAGCACATATGCCAATTAATATAGTTCCAGGAAACACAGGTCATGGTATCAGTAAATCTTCTTCGTCTTCCTTCATGCAATAGAATGTTCAAGAGATTATCTATTGAGCATATCTATGCCTAAATTACTACATGAGCTAAATAACAAACATTTTATATTCTGACAAGTATTTGTTATTTTGTAGAAAAGGGGAGCAAACAAAATGATTCTATTATGGATCTTTGTCATTAGAGGAAAAATAAGCTAATAGAATCAATAGTAGGAATCAAAATATCTTTTGTTCAATTCACAACTTTTAATATAACAAAGTAAATTAAAATAGCCTTTTAATCTTGGCTGAAATTTGCTTTTTAAGCTGTGATCTTGTGTTTCTCTGTTAATTTCAAATTTAAAGAACTCTTGGCTGATGAAACTGTTATATAAGCACAGGCACCGTTGTTCAATGTGTAATGTTAGAATCAGAAACTCCGCTGCAATTCTCTTGGAAGGATGGCTATATTTTGTAATTTGTTTTAATCCTGAAGCAATTTCATGAGATATGTCTTAAATTACTAAGTTTATTTCTATTTTTTTCTGTATGTATTAGGAAAAAAATCAATTCTTGTTTCCAGAAGTCCTAATTATTACATCAGTTTGTCTCTGCTATTAGGATAATGCACTTAAAATTATTTTAAACAATCATTAGGATTTACATAATTTCTTCTCATTTTACTAATATTACTGGCAATGCTTGGTTAAAGCCAATTTAGAGAACTGAAATTAAAAATATATATATAGTGCTATATATTTCCATGACATGCTTTCCAAAGACTTTTCTGTTCCAGTTTTGCTGACTTGAAAACTAAGGCATAAGATGCTAGAATAACTCACCAAGGTCATTTAAACAACAGTAGACCTGGAAAGATTATTACTATTTCATGATCATTCTGTCTCTTCCTAATTTCTCTAGTTCTCTTGTCCACCTTTAAATACCTTTTTCAACATTAATGAACTTAATAGGCTCTTACATTTACTACATTAAATTTGTAGTCTATAGTCTTTTCAATGTAGACTCACTATTTTACTGAAAATTTGTTTTAATTGCCTGCTATTTCTATATTCTTTGTATTTATAGTCTTTTCTCGTAAATTATTTCTTTACATGCATTCATACAAACTCCAAATATATGTGGTTTTTATTTCCAATTTTATACTCCTGGCCCCTCCTTCTCCCTAGAATTTGGAAGTAACTTAGTTTTCTGCTGATTCTTTTCTTCCATTTGGCAACCATTTTATTTCATTGTTTTTGAAGTGAGGCAGTAAGAGAAAAAATGGCTGCCTTTTGTTTATTTCCTTGTACATTAACATGATGACATCATCAAAGATATTAGCTAGAATATACATATCTTTAAAAACCCAGAGGTGCACAGTAAGTCAGAAACAGTCTGGTCTTTTGTGTTTCAATGCCCTAAGGTTTTGTAGCTTTGGCGTAGCTTTTGATGCAGAGGGAAAAATGAACATGGACATTTGGGAACAAATACATTAACATTGTGGCATTTAAAACATATCTGAATATGTTTCAGTGTTAAGAACAAACCACCAAAAAGCATTTACTTAAGTTATGAAACATTCTAAATCAATATCTAACCCTGCAAAAAAATGTTGTAAAGAATGATATTAAATCATTGTATTTAGAGACTGGACTTTTTAGCCATGCTTGCCTATTCTGGCTTAAAATTATTTTTAAAATCTTCAATTGTTATAAATATTTCCAAAAATAATTTGTTATTGGAAGGCTAACGCAGGTATATAAATTTTCTGTTTTTGAAATTATTGAATTATTTATAACCACTATTAAAATGTACTGTATATCTAACTATACAGGATATTTGTTTTTTGATCTTCATTTATGGTGCTTCTGACTTTTCTTTGTGTGTTCTTTGTTGCATTTTGCATTATTTGTCATAAGATTTCCATTGGGATTAACAAGCAACAAGCTTTCAATTACCAATTCAATTTAGATAAATTATTAAAAATGTAAGAAATATTTTTAAAACTAAATTCCAATAGCTAATTTTATTTTTAATTTGGAAAACCACAATCCTTTTTCAAATTTTGAGAAATAATTTTAGGTGTCTATTTTTTAAAGTATTTTAGAAAGGTAGTCTGATTATACACATACATGTTTGTGTGTATCTATATATTAATTTAATATCTACACAGCAGAAAATTCCTGTATATGTTGAGTAGTCAGCTCTAAAACTACTTGTTAACATTGAAATCAGATAAGGTAAACCATATGCTTTACTGAGGTAAGCTGTCTAAAATAAGTTACTGCGATTTTAAGAATTAATATGAACCACATGTTCTTTAGATCTTTAAATTGAAATCTTCATTGTTCTTTTAAGTCAGCTGTTCTAAGGATGTGTCATCTTTTGAGAAGATAAATTAATCATCTGCCTCATTTATATACATCAATAAAAGAGATTCACCCTTTCATCTACTTTGTCAAAAGTAATTAGAAGATCTCTATTTTTATTCATATATAGTATCTATTAGTGACTGAGATTTTCATAGAGGAGATTTTGAGGGAAATGGACACTTATCCTTTTGAAAATAATCTCTGCCAAGGAAAAAAAACACCAGCAATCTAACGGTTAAAACATACTGTCAAATCATTCAGTTGAGCAAGGCTCTTTAATAACATTTGTACAAAAGTACTTTCAGAAAGCAGAAGGTAGGAAACAGCTTTTTGCTAGTTCCCCTTCCTTAAATAATTATTCAGCCTCTTATTAAAATAAAATCTAGTTAACTTCTTTTGAATGCTGGCTCAAACGTTTTCTATCATGAAAAAAATCTTGTAAAGGGATTTCCATAAGTTGTGTTGCATTAATGACTTAGAGCAGCTTCATCGTCTGTTATTCCTTCCTCCTAGCAGACCTCAGCTGATAAAAATATCCATAGACACAGTGAAGTCAGTGGCATGCCTGGCTTTCTCAGACAAAACTCCCATGTGATCACATATAGGCAGCCTCAGTGAGGCTGATGCCGTGCAGCTAGCAGTAGGTAATGAGTCTTTGTGCAGAGTGAAGCTCTTGTCGCTGAACAATAAAGCATACGGTACCAGCAATAAAACACAGGGCTGGCAAATTTAAGAAGATTCCGCTGAACCAGGAAGAACAGTGCCTTTGGTGATGCTGACACATATTATAAAATGATAATCAATTTCTTTGGGATTCTAATGAATAAAGACTGCAAGGACTAAGACTACAGCTATTTGAACAGGTCAGTGATTTTCTAAATTACTCCAGCACTTCCTTGTGTTTGATTGGATTTAAATTAGAATGGGCTGATGTGTGCTTTGCCTTAAACAAAAACTTTGCAAGATATTTGCAGTGTGTCATATGAAGGATGCACTTGAATTGACCCAATGTGATTAAATTGTTGATATAATCAGATGGGCTAGAGAAATGTTTATATGATTATAGTAAACTGAAAAGTTATTTATCCTTTTTAAAAATTTATGGGTAAGAGAAAAATTCCTCCAATAATTTCTAATCTCTTATATATGCAGGAATAATATAAGAGTACTGCTAATAAAAAGCTCAAATAAAAAGCTTCAAATTTATTTTTCCGGTATTAAAAATATTATATTGAAATACTTTACACGTCTTATTAATTGGATGAAATATCATTCAGAATTCATTAATGTCTTTCGGCATACTGCAAGAGGAAGGTTTGGAATATTTAATTATTTCAATAAAATGTTTTAAATAAGAATTTTGAAATGTTAGTAACGCTATCAGAACAATGTATTTTATATTCAAATATAGCAATATATTATATATCTATATTATTCTCTTGTGTGCCTTTTATTTTTCATGTTATATTTCCTTTGACAAATGGGAAATCTTATTGCATAAAACCTTTTATTTCATAGATATTATTCACTCACTAATGGAAAAAACAAATTAGCTTAATTGTAAAAAGAATAGATTAATTATGTAATGATGCATAATTCTATTGGCTCACCATTTTAAAAAGATGTGCCTTCATGTGTATTTATAAAAATATGTACACACATGACCTTCTGTATCTAGAAAATAATCACTTCCTAGGTTTATGAGCAATAGAGAAGTTTGTGTTTTAAATAGATTGCTGTGTGTAGGAAGACAGGGGAAGAAATAACTCTAACAAATAATAGCACAACACTGAACATCTTTGCCAAAGACAAGCATTACTGCTACGTGAACCTTTAGATTGAAACACATAGTTTAACTTTGCTCTACATTTTCACTGCGGTATTATTTTAAAGACAGCCCGGGATCTAAATCCTTTATAATTAATTTATTGGACACCATTTAGGATGATTGTCTTCAAGACACTGGGGCACATTTAATATTTTATGGAATTATTCTGGTGACATGATGTATTTGTATAATGACTAAAATAAATGTATGCCTGCAAAATGCTGTTTAAACCCACAACCAAAAGAAATACCCAATGTCTCTTGATTATGCGTGCAATGCTATGTATTCCAGTGGGGGGAAAAATCAGCTATGTTTCAAAAACAAGGGAAGTCAATGAAAAATTTAAATTGGCCTTCCACATGTATTGCAATGAAGTATTTGACTTATGTGGGTTTCCTTAGTTACCATAGTTGATGTGACACCTTCTTTTGGTGGGGAGCAGGGAAAAGCAGGACTCTAAAACAGAGTCAAAAAAACACCACTTATCCATTAATAGACCTGGGGGGCTGTGATGCTGCCAGCCCGGGGAAGTCCCTGCCCACTGCCCCTCGCCCGCTGCAGCCCTCCCGCCGGTGATTCAGGTATTCTGGCAGAGCTGCAGCTCCCAGCCCTTACCCAGCATTCCGTTTCAGCCGCTGGAGGACTGCCCGAGCCTTATGCAAATGAGCCAGCTCGGAGGCTTTGACTGCAGAAGCAGGGGGGTGGGGGGGGGAGGGAGTTCAAAGGTCACAGGGCTGGTGGAGAGCTGGATCGGTCGCAAAATGCACTGGGCTGCTCTGCAGCAGTGTTTTGCAGCAGTTAAATGAAGTGTGCTTTATTTCTCAGAGCGAAGATTTTACAGCGTGTGCCGTAGTCGTTTAAAGTGCACGCAGGTACGGTGACAGATTTCCTGATGCGCCTGATTTTATTTCTGTGGAAGACACTGCATGAGGATTGGCTATTTTCATTCATTGCGGAGATTAGCAGTGCCTTCTCCCTCGAAGGGTTCCCTTAACTAGTTTATTCTTTAGATCTTGATGTTTTCTGGATTTGAAACAGGGGTGTTTTGTTCAAATGGAATAATTTCATGGGAGAAAAGATTGGGTTTGGACGTTCAATAATTACATTTGGGGGGAAAGTTTTTGATTGCAGAAAGATATCTGGGTTGAAACATCTAGGACTAACAACTTTAGAGGATTTTCACACTTGCAAGGAATGTATTTTCAGGAAGAACTGGGTTCCTAGCCTCCTGTTCTTGTGAGGTATCTGGAATTAAATAACTGAGCTCTTTTGTTCCTATCCCAGGCAACATCGTGACAGTTTTAATAAGTTATATTTTCATTTCATTTTAGGAGAGGGTGTCAGTTTCGAGACTCTTTATTCTACATTTTATTCTACATAAACGCCTTATCAGAGAAATAATTTCTTGTTTTGGTGTTGCATCTTTTAAGTGCCTCTCTAATTTTCCAAATTGTTATTATTTTGGGGAGGGGGCTTTTTAGACTATACTATTTTGAATTCAACATGTTTAACTTCCCATGACATTTTCTTTTAGTTAACTCGGATAGTAAAGTGATCCCCATAAATGTTACAGGCAGGACAAGTCTTCTTTTTTTTTTTTTTTTATGCACTAAATATCCCACTTTTGTAAAATGTGTGATTACATCATGGCAGGATCTGACCTGTGCCAAACAAATGTGTACTCACTTTTATTGTTGATATTGCTTTTTTATTTCTAAAACATATTTTAAATAAATTTAAAGCATGATTAAAACATGTTTATCCATATCATTAAAATTTTAAAATATATCAATTCAGCAGTTACAATGTTGATGGGAAGTATTGCACCAAGTCAGCATCTGTCTACATCACAGGTTGTATGTGTATGAAAATATTTTGGAAAAATAAAGAGGCAAAATAATGTTTAGTCATGAAATTACTGTTTGATGCTTTTATATTTGCATAAGACATTTTAAAATGAATTTTATGAAGCTTACATACAAAGAGCTAGCACATGTTTAGATAAACTTAATTACTTTCTTTGCACTGAAGAGTGTTAATTTATTATAATGATTAAGACTCGGTAGTTTGGCAACGATATCTTTTATTTTAAATTAGGAAGAGGGTGTGGATGGTGGATCAAAACAGGGGGTTGACCAATGAAACAGTGAAGGGCAATTATTTCAACTGTCTATGAAATCACTTTGCTGTAGTCATGCAGGTCCGGATTCTCACCCTTTGTCACTCTATGGGGACATTATGACATTTATCCAGGATCCTGAGATTAATTTAGGAAAAGGAATTCATGTTCTGTGTGGTTTTTAAAAATGCAAAAACTGCCAATTTTTTCTAAACTTTCTCTTTTGAAACTTTCAATAATGACTGCAGCTAAAGGGGATATATTTCAAATAAATTGTTTTTTTCTTATGTTGATTGCAATATCCTGTCCTCTATTTTAAATAACATATTTGTAAACAATTGTCTTATATATATGTATATATAATTTATAATAAAATATATATACATTTTACATATCTGTATTACAATATATATAATATATTTTGTATATACCATCTATGCATGTATACATACATATATATATATATATATATATATATATATATATATATATATTTTCAAAGAATCAAAATTTTTCTAAAGGTCAATCATATTTAATTCAACAATTTGGAAAAAAATTTAAATTTTACTTTTAACTTAAGTCTTGCCCATCCATGGATTTTATATAATAACCACTGTGTGTGCTCTAGGCAGAGCACAGGAAGGAGGAAAGAACCAAGTTGAAATTCATTTAGATAGTTCAGTATTATTAATTTTGTAAATGCAACCACTACCAGTTAGCACATTCTGAATATGGACATAAAAACAGTGTGGACAAAGAAGGAGGACCTGCAAAGATTCTTAGAGAAAACATGATTATTAGACACACGTTAAGTAAAGAGAATTGTGCTTCTGTGAGCCAGGAGAGAGTTTTATATGTCCTGCAGTAAATTTATGGCTTTGACTACTGTGGATAATTTATGTCTCTATGCAAATTCACTCAAAACTGGGAAGTCTTTTTTGCATTTGCTGGGGCCATACTGCCATACAAATCTCAGTAGCATGTACATACTACGTTCGTGGTCTGGATATTTAAATGTATATAAAATGTATTTGTATAAATGCACTTCAAATCAAATTTGGAAGGTAAAGCTGTAAAAACAAAGCATTGACGCATATGCAGTTAGTGTACCAAGAAATGGTATTACCTCAGACTTCAAAGGAATCATTAAGGACTTTTCAAAAATTAATTTCCTGCATTCTGATTACCAGTCTATCTCTTTCATCACTTGAAAGTGGAGACCATATTGTAAGCTTGCAAAAGAGTTTAGGGCAAACATGTTGTACCCAGTCTAGCAGGATGGAGGAGAGTCTAAACTCTACAAATAACTGTTGTCATCTCAAACTTGAAAGCGTATGTTTTAAGCTGTACTATCATTATATGTGTCCTTCTCTTGAACTTTTGGTGTCTATGAAATAGAAAGAATGACACATTACTTATATTAAAAAGAAAATGCTCAAGATAATTGAGTATTCAAAGCAATCACATTTATTTATTTTAACCTGGCAAAACATTGATTGCCTTTTGTATAATTTATTCTGGAATTTACATAGAATTGTATCAGTTTTATTGAAAAGTATAAGCACAAAAAAGTGTAAAATTGTTTTTACATTTTTATTTTTACTCCATATTAGTAGACACATAGCAATGCTATAATACTACTTTGTCTAGAGCAGTTGGAAAATAATCTGTGCTAAATAAACCTATTCAGATAACTAAAATGTATAATTTTAATGTCTAGGTTTTTTTAATGTTAATTGCTCTCCTATGGTTCTGCATTGCTGAACAAAATGGAAATCAGTTTAGGCTTTTCCTCATGGCATAAGAATCATTATTCCCACCATTACATTGACTTAGTGCAAAAGATAAAACTGTTCTCTAACACCAAGTGGTGATGCTAGTATATGCTTTTTGTATATAATTTTTTATGTTTTATA